TTCAGGTTTCTGATGATGTCTTTCAGAGCTCTTATACCAGCTTCACTGCTGGCCGGTTCAGGTAGCCAGGGTTTATGTGAGGGGTTGTGGCCACCCAGGGTCACCCCTCGGCTCTGCCCCTGCAGAAACCTCAACTATGGGATAAGATTTAAAATGTTTTGCAAAAGCAATGCGTTTATGTTACATATTTACAGAAAGAGAGCACTAGCATATGTCTGAAGCTGTGGTTCTGTCTGTTCTTTAATGCACGTCCAACATGCGCTCTCCTTTCAGTTTGGTTTGTTATTCCCATGAGGCCGATGTGCGGCTCTGAGGCTGCTCCACACTGTTCAGTCTGTTCTATCCTGACTGACAGCTCGTCTGTGGGTGTGAGGGCAAATAAACCTCGCGTTTGACCCTCAGTCTCATGACATTGATCTGAGCAGTGCCATGTTTAACTCGCTCGGGAGTTTTTAATTAATTAGCTTCTATCAGAGCAGAGGACTGATGTTGTCGCTCTCTGCAGCTGCAACATGAACACGTTCATCTATGACGAGCAGCGCGTGTGGATTACTACAGTTATCATGTGACTGCAGGGGCCACACGCGTGTGGAAACTGGTGCTGATGAAAACTTTCTCTGTAAAACATGCAGGAAAAAGAGTCGACACAACATGTCAGAGCAGATTGTCAGTCACCCGGGTGGAGGCAGTCGTAAATGCCCCAGCACAAGGCAAATGGACTTCTCTTTATTTGGGTCTTGAGGAGGTTTCACTTCTCATCTGAGAAGCTTCCTCTGCTCTGACTGACTGATCAAAACACTTCCTAAGACATTCATTAAATCTCCAAAACAGCTGTTCATGAAGTCCGTTAAGGCCGACACACTGACGACTTCTCAACAAGTCATCAGATCACTCTGGGGTGCTGGAGCTTCTCTGGAAGTAAACCTGGTATTCTGTTCTCTGCCTCAGATTATTATAAACTGAATATCTTTAGATGTTGTGATGTGGTTTGATTGATTAACTGATATGGAAGTGATCAGCAGGATTTAGTGACTGAGCCAGCCATCATAAATACACAGGATCCCTTCCAGTCTGGTGGGACTGAGGAAGCCTCTTGGATCTGAGGTGAACAAGTCTAGTTGTCTCCTACAGAAGCATCTAGAATGACTAGAACATACATGACAGAGAATGCAATGCTCCAAACTCCCACCATGTCAAGGTCTGACCCGGTCGGCTCAGGAAACCTTAAATGACCTTTTGTGTCCTCTCATCAGGAGCTGTGAGGAGTTTGTCAGAGGAGTGAGGCTCCTTTCTTCTGTCTTATCTCACCTGTATCACATCACCATCACACCTCTGGCTCTGGCCAAGCTCGGCTCTGATCCTCAGCATCCCTCAGGCTGGCAGCAGGAGAGCTGCTGTCCTTGCGCGCCACCCAGTGGCCACATTTGGAAAACATCACTTTGCCTCCTTTGAATCTGCCAGGGGCCATTTTGAACCGCATGGCGGTGTTATCACATGCTCGACTGGTGTGAGTAATGTGTAAGACAGAAATAAAAAGGAAAACAAACAAACAAACAAAACCTTGAATTCGATGCCTTCGCCTGCAGCCAAAACAGCAAAACGCATTACACGTCCAAAGACATTTCAGTGTGAGTATAATCTACTGATGCTGCATTTCTTTGCATTTTAAGGGAAAAATAATCGTGTTGAAGCAGTTTCACTTTGACGTGTGGAGGCAGGTCCATGGTTTCCTGCATCAGTGTGCTCTGGAGGCTGATCCCAGAGCAGCAGGACACATGCATGTTGTGTGTGAACTACATCCTCCATCACATCCAGGGTGCATCCAGTGGAGACACACTGACCATCTGGATGCAACATCTGCCTCACACATGTGTCCACTTCCTTTAGTGTGTGTGTTGTGATGAGGTTCGTCCTCCTGCTTCATACACACTCGATCCCTGAAGATTCAGTCCAGGCGCTGTGGTTTGTTCACAGGATCATAATCAACAGTTTAATCGTCTGGCACTCTCTCCTCCGTTTGAAAA